CGGTCTTATCAACACCCTCAGCGGGAGTCGAACCGCGACAGTGCAGGATGGGAGCTTGACACGTTAACCAATAAGCGACACTGCCACGAGCGCCATTTGGGTCACAGGGCAAATATGAGTTGTCAAGGGAGGCCAGGCCTTTTTGTCATATCATATTCTTTTGGTGAAATTGTCGATGAAGCAAACGTTTATCTGCCATAACAATCGACAACTATAATTTATTTATTTTGAATTAAGTATTATTTTCGTGCTTAACAGTAAATCAGTAGTATGAGATGTATTCACTCAATTTCGATAAAGGGTGAATACATCGCATATTACTGATTTACTGGTAGTCACGAGAACAATACTTGATTTGGTTAGTTCTAGGCATGCGTCAATTTCGAAGCATGTGATTGTGTCTGTTTCTGTATGTGCATTTGTATGTATGTGTTCGCATATGTATGAAACCAGCAGTAATGGCTCAAAGTAGTTGGAACAGCGAAAGCAACATCAAGGTTTGATGACCACTCGCTTCACTTTACTTGCATATTCATTTCTATGAGGCTTAAGGCTTCATCCGAAGTGGCCGGGAGCGGTCATGTTCGTTCGTCAGCTTTTCCTCCAGCCGATATCCGTGTCCTCATGCAACCTTCGTCGCTCCCTTCGATTTCTTATTCTAATGGCTGACCGCTTTGTGTGCTTTTCGGTGAAAGAGTGGCTTGATGAACAGAGAAGTTCACCTGTTTTAGGCTTTTGGAATACATGACTCCAGCCTCGACGGGTTTTGGAGGTAAATGGACAGCAACAACAAATTCATCACCTCCGCGTCCAGCCTCAATGGCTTCCGCACTGATGGCTGCTCAAATTGCTGGATTGGGGCATCAATTGAGTCCCGTTTCTGTCTACAGTCCAGGCTGCATCATCCGTTGCTTCGCATGGACATGCGAAAGATCACCTTTTAGGGCCAAGCAACAAATGTACCGCTTAAAACCGGAACAAATGCAACATAACCGCGCGGCACCCAATCGTGAATGTGTGGTCAATTGGTGCCATGTCGACTATTTTTGCGTATCACGTAGTTTATAATCCCGTTGGGCGAAATGATGAGAGACGGTGAGGTGGTATGCAACCACCATTTCAGTCTGGGCCCTGAAAAGAAAAGTTAGGGAGACTTTAATTTCGTGTGAAAGTGTGCTTGCTGAAGAGAGTAGAAAGTTGATATCATCAGAAATGCTTGTTGTATTGCAGTCGTTTAACTTAAATGCCACCTTCTACGGGACATTTCCCCTCATTTCTGGTGAAAACCAGCTGAACCATCGTACATGATATGCCGAAAAAGTCTCAAGTTTACAAACACCAAGTCAAGAAGACTGTCCGGCTCTATCCTACCTCTTATACACATAAATAACAAAAAAAGCAAAAATGTCTAGGCACAGATAGATACAGAATGTTTTGATTAATTATCTTTCATATTTGTCATTGTACTTTTACTTGAGTGTGTCTGTGTGTATGCTTCAGTTTATCTGTGTGCAACTATCTATACCCAATGCAGATCCTAAATCATAATGAATGATTCACTTCTTCATGCAATTGCATACGAAATAGAAATCTTCATAGCGCGTTTATCTCAAGAAATACGTCAAAAGCCAGTTAATATTCGTAATTTGAGCTTAG